TTTGCTCTTTGTTACTGATGGTGTCATGGTTTTGTCAGTGAGCAAACATATTGCATAAATGATACAATATATTAAGAGAGGTATTGAGCTGACGGGGCAGACAATGTATAAGCAATTATCTGCAGCAGTATAAAGATGTCCAGCCATGACAATGCATCTTGGAAGTTGCAAGCATACTTGCTGCTATAAATCCATACCTCAAACCTACCTGAACATGGCAAAAATGATCTTTGTTGTTTCAGATGTATATTTATCACGTCATTTGGGAAAACATTGGAGAGACATGGAAGAGAGGTGAAGTATTACGCAGAGAAAGAAACGAATATGGAGAGAGAGAGACAAGGCAGGGAAAAAATAACTTTTTTATGATAGAGTTTCAATTTTCAAAATGTGGGGTAATTTGATAATTTTGTTCACTTTTCTATCAATATTTTACATTCATCCAAATATAATATTAGTAAAATTCACACAACTTTCACACAAAAAATTTTCTTTACCAAACATTTTCGTAACTTACCTGAAAATAAATAAATTCACACCATATTCTAGAAAATCTTTTTTTTTCCGGTAAAAAAAATATCTCTTATGTCAAATGCCCCTTGGCGTTCATACAAATTTGGCTTAATAAATAAATGAAAAAATTGCACTTCAAATGGGTTTTTCCTCTAAGTGCCCGTTTGGATCATTTTTTTTAAGCTAGAAGCTACTTATAAGTAGAAACTAGGTCAAATAGATTTTGAGAAAAACTCTTATAATAAAAAAACTCTTTTTTTATAATGAAGAAAAAAGTTAAAAGCCAAAAGCTCCGATAAGGAGATTTTTTTAAGCTCTTATCAACAATTATTGAATTGTGTGCTTTTTTTTAAATGAAGAGTTATAAAGATAGAGTTTTCTTGAAATATGTGCATTTAAGCTAAGAAATTTATGTAATCACCAAACAGTTTTTAACTTTTTTTCTAAGCTCTTTTTTTAGCTTTAACTTGTAAATAATTTCTAATTTAAAAAAGAGAGAATCCAAACAGAATCTAAAAATGATGGCTTAACTCGTAAAATTTAAAATAAATGTTTGAATTGCGTCATAAATTGCTTCAATAAGTGAGAGACTAATCAGCGAAGATAAAGACTCCTCATAAGTCACAACTGTATATTTTTTTAAATGTAAATTTTAAAATCGAATTCAAGATTATATGCTTTAAGGAATGTAATCCTCTTGTTGTGAGAAAAATAGTTAGTTGCCCTTGAATGACTAATTTGAGTGCTTGTAACAAAATATGGCATTGATTACTTATTATTATGATGGAAATTATATTTATCATATTACATGAGATAATTTTGTTTAATGTCCGTACAAAAAGTGAGAGACCCATTTTTTTTTCTCTTCTTATTAATGGATCTCACTCATTTTTGTGTGTGTTGCATGATAGAAAATTATCTCATTCAACATGATAAACATATTATCCTATTATTATTATTATTGATTTGGTATATATATTTTCTTAACCCATCAACTTTGTATTTTACTTTTCAAAATGAAAATTAAAGGGTGAGGAACCATTACATAAAAACATTTCATTTATTCTCTATCTCTCTATATAATTTGTCAAAATCTTTGTTTTTAAACCCTGAGGGGGCAAGCCGATCATCCATTGCACAGATTCCTTGGATTTGTTTTTCTGAAGGGCGCTTATGAATTGGTCTTATAAAAGTACTCTCTTGTTTGTATTTCGCAACATTTAGACGCAACTAATTTTTATTAGAGTAAACATCATTTTTGGTCTCTAACAAAAAATACGGTCTCCACTTTAGTCCTTACAAAAATAAATTAGTCAGTTAGTCCCTAACAAATTTAAAGTGGACCCATTTTGGTCCTTTTGAAGGACTAATATGGGTCTTTTTTGAATTTGTGAGGGACCACGATTTTAACTAAACGAGTTCACTTTGAATTTGTTAGGGGCTAACTGACTAATTTTTTTTTGTAAGGGACTAAAGTGGGGACCGTGTTTTTTGTTAGGGACCAAAAAGAGTATTTACGCCTTTTTTTTTTTTGATAACAGTATTTACGCTTTTTATTATAAGCAAAATTGTCATAGTTTTGTGTCAGGAAAAAAGAAGCATCCTTTTGACGACACAAGCTTGTTTCATTTTAGGTGTTTTACACAAAGTATGATCGATCGTACTTTGTGTAAAACTGAAAAATTGCTTTTTTTTTTCTCTTCCCAGTCACATAACTGATATGTATGTGTAAAATGAAAAAAAAAAGTAAGTTTTCAGAATTACACAGAGTACGACCGGTCGTACTAAATCACTAAAAAGACACAACTTGTGTTTTTTTGAATGACACACACTAAACCTTTTGTGTCAACAAGCAGTTAACATTATTGTCCATGATGACCATTAAAATGTTAATGCAAACGATAAAACAACATTTCACTGATTAATAAATTATTTATTCTCTCTTGTTAAAACCCTAGCCGTTATATTCTGCTTTACAAAATCGTGGGTTTCTCTAATTTGAGAACGAAACTGATTTTAGAACAGTCAAATTCGTTTGGGAAATTTGGGTTTGATCTCCAACGATGAATTTTGACCCTTTTGTGACATTGGAATTTTTTTTCAAAACTTCAACAAACGTTAGTTTTGTAAAATCAGCTCACACTTTCAAAAATTATTGACAATCAATCGAATATAGAGGATCAAGAAACTTGAGCTAATATTCTTGGGAATATTTGGGTCTATCAAATAATTTTTTAATAACATTTTTTAAAAATTCACTTTCCCAAAATATTTTCAGGAACAAATTTTTTTTTCTCTACCAATTGCTCCTTGAAATTTCATTTTTTTTTTTTGTAAATGTAATATTTTACTGTACCACCTATATGCTTGGTCAAACACATGATTAATGAGTGTTTCCTTTGTTCTTTGTTCTTTATTTTCTATATATGTATTTTTTCCTTAATAATTATAAATGTAATATTTTATTTTCAATATACTTATTATTTTTTAAAATTTTAATAAAGAAATGTAATTTTTTATTGTCATCATTTCTTTTCCAAAATGTTGAATAAAAGCAAGTTAATATTTTTTTAGCTAATATCTTCATAAAAACACTTATCAAGCAATTAATAATAACAAATATCGAATAAAAGATAGATTTTTTAAACTCCCACTGTATTAAGTGCATATTTCAGGAAGATTTTTTTTTCTCTAAAACAGACTTTTTTCTGAATAAAATTTGTTTTGAGTAAATTATTGAATGTTTAGGAAAAATATATAAAATTAACTTTAAAAAAAAGATTATTTACATCAACAGAAAAAATGACTTATTTTAAAAAGCTTCTTTTTTATAATCTAAAAAAGCTTCTTTGATAATTATTAGTTTAATTATTTTGCAGATGTGGTTTCTTTACCAAATTTGTCCTTTCGCATTTCTTACTTCTTCGTATATAATCTAAACAAATTATTTCATACCCTTTCTAAAGTAATTTACTATGTAGGAGTGGATTTTTATAAAAAAAAATTTAAACAAAACATATCATCTCAAAATCATTTTTGGCCAACATATTAAAATATAAAATTAATTTAGTCATAATTGATTTAAAAATCAATTATATGTAGAATTAATTATAAAAATGTTATGGAATATATAAGTAATGTTAGCATTATATTGGTTATTTACTAATTTTAACTCTTGGCGGAGGATATCATTATCATATTAATTATAACAGACGATGTAAGAAGCTGAAAAGTATCGCATTCACTTCACGCGCTATAATGAGCGTAATTAGTGAAAGTAAACACTAACAATAACACAATCGAAGCTTTTCAAACCTCAGTACAGTCCACCCGACTGCAGCCAGTCAGATTCTCTGATTTAGTTGGCATATCTTGACATATACCATAAATACTTTATTTTTTTTAGTATTTTTTAAATTAACATTTTTTTTTTCAATTCCCTAAGAAATATCATTATAACATAAGGTGGATTATGTTTATAATTTTTTTTTTATAAACTATATTATTTACTAGAGATAGTAAATTGTGTGTTGGAATATACTACTTCTGGTATATAGTATAATTTATAAATAAAAAATTTATAAATATAATTTTTTTATTACATATATTAATAGAATTTTATCAAACCTAACCATAGTTACCAGTATCTTACGAGATATGATATGATACGATTCACAAGCTCAATTATATGTATTGTGAGGTGTATCAAAAAAGGATTTGTATTTTTCGATACGATATGAAACAAAAATTAAATCAAAATTTATAAATTTTTAATATAAAACAATTAATAAATATTTGATTTGCGATTTAAATTAAAAGAATCTTTTTCGGAAGAGGATTATGGATTAATTATACAACTGATAGATGTTGATAATGATAAAATTAGTCTTAATGATTGATAAATAAAAATAACTGATTTGTATTTTAATTACTTATGTATTTTTTTATTGGATCATTTTATAAACTTGAATTTATATGATATTAATTATATTATATATTTTTAAATTATTTTTTATTATATTTTTATATTTTATGATTCGATACGATTCACCGTAAAAAAAAAAATCAGTCATACAATAATACACTATACATAATACAATTCAATAACCTTAAACCCAACTAATTAAATTAAAAAACACTTTACTCGAAAGTAGCTTAATTTGTGTATTATACGCTCAAAACCAGTAAGACCTCCAATCAAATGATTGTTTCACGCACGCACCAAGGCTACCCTCATCCCCAAATCTCTTTTCATTATTCTCTCTGTTGTTTCCTTTGAAATGCTTTTTTAATCTTAGGTAGAAATATATCATATTAATTTATACAGAATATAATAAAGGAACAGAAAGTATCACATTTATTTCGAGCGCAGCGCTAAATGAGCGAAATTGATGACAGTAAACAAAAAAATTAACAGTAATCAATGCAAGTTTTTCTCACCTCACTCAGACCATCCAGCCAGAATCTCTAGTTTAGTTTTGGACACTCAATTCTCACAATCTTATTTATTCTATAGGGGAAGAGAGAGAGAGATAGAGAGAGGAAGCATCTTCTTTCTTTTTCTTTCTCCTTTGGCAACTCAACCAATACGCGTCCAGTTTCCAATTCCAAGCCCCCCATTCCCTCTATTCTTCACATTCTTTCTTCGTCTTTAATATCAACTCAATCATCTTCTTCTTATTACCCCCCTCGATTCTTTCTTCATCTTCAATACCAACTCCATCATCTTATTATTCTTATTTCTTCTACCAATTCAGAGAGAGAAAAAACAAGATGGAAGCAGAGCAAAGGAGGAAGAGAAAGCGTGTGCTGGGGAGGCACCTTCATATATCATCAAGATCATTTTTTCTTTGCTTTTCCTTCTTCATCTTCCTCTTCTTCTTGTCCTCTCACCATCGCTTCACCATCTTCTTCACCCCCTCCACCTTACGCCTCCCTCTTAAAGCCTCATCCTTATCCCTCTACTCCACCGCAAGCCACTCAATTCTTGACCCTCTTCACCACACCACCACCACCACCTCCTTCACCCTCCAACACCGCATCCTCTTCCCCGATCACCTCCTCCTCCTCATCCTCACCAACCAACAAAAAACCCAACCCCACGAACTAGAGTGCGTCTACTACACCCTCCTCACCAACGGTTCGGCTTCCGGTTCACCTGAACCGGTCCTTGATGTTCGGGTTCAACCGGTCCTGTCCACGGACCGGTACGACGAATCTCGATCTATCGCCAGGTGCCCATTTCCCGGGGCGAACTACTCCGGCGCTGGAGCCGCCAAAGCCGTCGACTTGCGGCGGCGCGGCGAGGTTGGTCGCCGGGGTTTGGGTTTTTCGATGAACCAAACGGTTGAATCTTGGGACAGGGTGGCGTACGAGGCGACCCTGGATGGCGACACCGTGGTGGTGTTCGTGAAAGGACTGAACCTCCGACCCCACAAGATCTCGGATCCGAGCCGTTTCCGATGCCATTTCGGGCTGAAGAGTTTCAATAACGAAAGTGCCTTTTTGCTCACGACAAGAGTGGTTTCGGTGGCTCAAGAAGTTGTGAGGTGCGGGTTGCCGCAGAGCATCAGGAACAACCCGTATAAGGCTCGAGGGATTCGGGTAACTGTGAGCTATTTGGGTGGCAACGTGAGGCACCCGGTTCGTGCCCTTGTGCCTTCTGTGGCTAGAGTTGGGATACCTGGTGGTGGAGGTGGTCCTAGAGATCAGAGGAGGAATAGAGTGAAGCATGAACTGTGCGTGTGTACCATGGTGTGGAACCAAGCTTCTGCGCTCAGGGAATGGATCATGTACCATGCCTGGCTTGGAGTTGAGCGTTGGTTTATCTATGATAACAACAGTGATGATGATATTGAAAAGGTGATTCAGGATCTTGACCTTGAAGGTTATAATGTTAGTAGACAGGCCTGGCCTTGGATTAAGACTCAAGAAGCAGGGTTTTCCCACTGTGCTTTGAGGGCTAGAGAGGAGTGCAAATGGGTTGGGTTCTTTGATGTTGACGAGTTCTTCTACTTCCCAAATGAATTTCATCACATGTTGGGGCAGAGTGTTCCTGGTGAGAATTCTCTGAGATCAATGGTTGCAAATTTCTCATCTTCAGCATCCATTGCGGAGATAAGAACAGCTTGTCATAGCTTTGGGCCTTCTGGGTTGAACTCACACCCTAAAAAAGGGGTTACTATAGGGTACACATGCAGGCTTCAGAGTCCTGAGCGGCACAAATCCATTGTGCGGCCAGATTTGCTTGATATCAGTCTTCTGAATGTGGTGCACCATTTTCAGCTGAGGGAGGGGTTCAAGTACCACAACATGCCTGAAGGTTCTGCTATAATTAACCACTACAAGTACCAGGTATGGGAGACCTTCAAAGCCAAGTTCTTCAGAAGGGTTGCTACCTATGTTGTCGACTGGCAGGAGGACCAAAACAAAGGATCAAAGGATAGAGCACCGGGACTGGGAACCGAAGCCGTTCAGCCACCTAACTGGCGGCTACAGTTTTGTGAGGTTTGGGATACTGGCCTGAAGAACTTCCTTCTGTCTTATTTTGCTGATCCTGCAACAGGTTTGATGCCCTGGGAAAGGTCTTTTCTGTAATGGATACTAATCAGGGTGCTAACGTCTTGGTAGCTGGTACCCCATGTATAGTATGATAGTCATACTTGTTAGGCATTCATTCTTTTCATTTTTTGGGGGGCTTTCTGTTCTGTTATCGAATTTTTGTTTTTGTTTTTTTTTTAAATGATTTTATAGATATGAAACAAACACACAGCTTATACAGATGTATATTTGCAGCAATATGAATGAATTTCCCTTCTGTTAACCTCGCTCTTGTGAAATATATAAAGCACATAATAATCATGTTGACAAAGCATAGATACATCAAATAACCTGTTTGCTACCCCTCTTTCAAATAACCTGTTTGCTCCTAAGTTTGAACTTCTTTCCTGCATAGTTTCTTGCACATTGAAGTTGCTGCCTTGGTGCCCTCTTGGTAAAATTTACTTGTCCAAGAAAAGCTGGTGTTTAAGTGATAAACCCCAGCTTTTCTTTAATTAAGTGATAAACTATTAAACCTATCTAAACACAAGTCTCAGCAATGGTAAACTGCTGGTCAATACCAAATTGTTTATTCTTTTACTGCAACTTGCAACTGCAAGCTGAAATTAGAAAAAAAAACAACTGAAAACATATGAAAAGGTTTTTAACTAAATTGGTTTTGTTGAAAGGCCACAACATAATTAATTAGGTGTTTCTGTGGGAAGGACTGGGGGAGTACGTGACCGTCGGCTTTGTTTTTTATGCCGGTTCTAAGAAACAATTAATTGGGATATTTTATTTTATTTTTGGGTAAAAATGGAAATATTAGAATTTGAAACCAAAGTCAATCACTGGAAGTAGTCCAACAAAAATGTGCTGATGTGTACAGTAAGTTACAATTACTCGCTTTGAATTAGTCTGAATGGTAATCTATTTGAGCATTGCCTTACAATTGCTGGTCAATAAATACAAATGAAGAGATGTACAAAAATGAATAAGACAGTTATACAAAATTACAAAATACAAATAGTAATGTTATGATTTAAATCTAAACTTAAATGCAAATAATAACCTCATGATTCAAATCTAATCATGAATGCAAATAATAAGATTTTAATCAGATCCTAATCATCCTATAATTCAAATGCAAATATGATGAAATCTAAACTTAAATGCAAATACTAAAATCCTAGTCATCTCATAATTCAAATGCAAATATACAATTTTTACAATTTTAAACTTTAAAGAATTAAATAAATGTTTACAATTTTTAAAGGACCAACTTGATACGACATATTTTTGAATGAGTAATTTTTTTTTAAAGAACATCTTTACCAATAGGTGAGAGGCTAATCAGACGAAGATAAAGACTCCTCATAACTGTTTTATTAAAACATCTCTACCAATTTCATTGTATCCTTTGAAGGACTAATTTGAGTGCTTTTTATAAAATATGACACTGACTTATTATTATTATTATTACTATTTGGTATATTTATTTTCTTAACCCATTAAATTTGTTATTTTACTTTTCAAAACGATAATAAAGGGTGAAGAACCATTACATAGAAACATTTTATTATTCTCTACCTCTCAATATAATTTGTCAAAATCTCTGTTTTTAGACCCTGAGGGGCAAGCCCATCATCCATTGCACAGACTCTTTGGATTTGTTTTCCTAAACGGCGCTTATAAATTGGTCTTATAAAATAAATGATTCTCTTGTTTGTATTTCGCAACATGTAGATGCAATTAATTTTTATTATAAGCAAAATTTTCATAGTTTTGTGTCGGCAAGTTAACATCATTGTCCATGATGACCATTAAAATGTTATTACTAATGATAAAACAATTTTTCACTGATTAATAAATTATTTAGCTCTAATTTTTAGGAGGATTAATATACAGAGAGTATGATCTACATGCTAATTGCTCGATTTCAAATACAATTCACATGAATCATTTAATTTCTTTTACCAGCAGCAAGTAATTTCTTTCATATCTAGTATTCTGTAATTTCATACAAAATTCAGCCTAACAAGAGAAGAATGGGAGCTTAAAAGAAAAAAGTCAACCTTCAATGGCTTGTTTCCAAATAATTACGGGAGCCATCTCAGAAAATTTCTCCTGGGTTTCATTGTATCACACCACCGAATAATTTTTTGGTACACCTTTTGTACCGAAGTTCAGTGCGACGTTAGTAGATACATTTTTATTAGAATATGTATGCAAAATTTGTACAAATTTCTAAGACTCCAAAATCAATCTATATATATATATATATATATATATATATATATATAGGGTTTTATAAGAGTTATGTTGTAGGAAAAGTGATTATGTAATGTTATAGAGATTCGTGTTTTAAAAAGTGTGGGTCCCACAAAATGTTATGTGTGTAGGAAATTTGATGGTGTCATGTTAAAGGACAAACTACAATCCCATATATATATCCTAGTAAAAATGCACTACCAACACATTGATTTTAGTAATACATGTGCACCTTAAATTTTTTTTGCACCACCAATATGCTTGGTCAAATACGTGATTAATGGGTGTTTCCTTTGTTTTTTTTTTTTTTTTTTGAAAAAAGTTTTCAACCAGCAATAGACGCGCCTCGGTTAGAACCTCACTAGCTGCGTCATTGCCCCAAGCGGAAAGATCGTTTTCTTTGTTCTTTGTTCCTTATTTTCTATTTATATATTTTAATAATAATTATAAATGTAATATTTTAATTTTAATATATTTCTTATTTTTTAAAATTTTATTAAAAAAATGTAATTTTTTTTGTCATCATTTCTTGACTTTTCGACCCTTTTGCCCCTCATTAAATAATTAATAACCAATTTGCCCCTCTCCCAGAACTATCCACCATCCTACCCTCATTTAGTCGATTAAGTTGCACTTTTAATCGACTAAATGGGCAAAACTCAGAAATCATGCAACGCGAATTTTAGTCGACTAAATACTCACCGTAATCGACTACATTATTTGCACTTTTAGTCGACTAAACACATTATTTAGTCGACTAAATATCGCGGAAAATCCTATATCCAGACCTCTCTTGGTCTCATTTTCATTATATTCGAAATCAAAACTCCTCTTTCTCTTGTTTGTCAGTTGTGATCCTTCCAATCACCCTTCCATTTCATCCCACCACCTCTAAAGCATAGTAATTGTGAAATCATTGTCATTTTCCTTTATTTCTCAATTGTTTCCCCCAAATCCGAACCCAAAATCCTAAAATCCGATTCATACCCCCAAAATTCGTGTGAAAGATGAGCTCAAGTCCAAACATGTATGTTACCATGATTTACTATGATGGAAAGCATTATGAAGGCCCCAACGGTGTTCAATTTTGAGGAAAAACGAAAATGTTGAAAATCAAACGGGGCACTACGTACAATGAGCTGAAGGGGAGGATTCACCAAAAATTGGGGCTACACGGCAGCCATGGCGTTCAACGGATGATCGCCAGGGTAGAGTCTACAGTTGGTAAGGATGCTATATTCTACATTGGTAATGATATATGTGACGATGAAGATGTGGACTGTGTCATAGATGCAATTGTGGACCGAAAATTTCAAAACTTTATTGAGATATATGTTGAAATAGACTGTGGTCAATCTTCATCTGCACCTGTGCATGGAAGAAGTCAAAGTCAAGAAGACAGAGTGGTCGGTTTATCTGCACCTGCACCTGTCTTAAGTCAGATACCACTGAGGGAAATAGACGAGGATGAGCATGACGAGGATATGGACAGTGAAGACGATGGTGAACCCGAGAGTGTTATTCCGCTGGGTGACACCTCAGATACGGACGTAGAGGGGAATTTTGACGCTGATACTAGTTCAGGAAACTTGAGTTCCCAGGTTATGCCATCGCTCCGTGTTGACCCTGTTAGCAGTGGTAAGATTGTAAATTAAAGTTTTAATTTTGCATATATATATATTTGTGTTTTCTTTCGTACTGACGGATAAGTTTAAATTTGGACGTAGGTTCTGAGATTGAGCCATTTTGGAACGACAGCCCACACTATTCCTTCATTAATTGGGCTCACCCTAATGATGAGACATAGATATTGTATGGCGACGATGACATCCACGGTGGCTGGCATTTAGGGGATCCATTATATTTGTACCAGGAGTTTCGAACTAAATCTGAAATGCAACATGCAGTCAAATTATATTGTATGAAGTCTCATCGTACTGCTGTGGTGGCAAAAAGTGATGACCATAGATTTGTGATGAAGTGTCGACACCATAATGATGGTTGTCCCTGGTACGTGCGGGCTATGTTGCCCAAGAATGGAAATAGTTGGGTTGTTAGTAAGTGGGGTAAAAAACACACCTGCCTAAACCAAGGCCTTACTCGGGACCATAGACAACTGGATTCTGATGTAATCTGTGCAGCCATTATAAGTATGTATTACAGAATTTTTGTTTATGGTTTAATTTTTCGATATATTTATTGACTGTGTTGACTTCGAATTTTGTATAGGTATGTTAAAAGAAGATCCATCCACGAAACCAGTTCTTATTCAGGAGAGGGTGCAAAGTTTGTATGGATACAACATATCTTATAAGAAGGCTTGGAAGGCTAAAATGAAGGCCATTGTAAAGTTGTTGGGGACTGGGAAAAATCATATGCCATCTTACCTGGTTGGCTGACCTACATGACACAGATTAATCCTGGTTCTGTGTTCAAGATTGATACGGATCAGTGTTGTGACGAACGACGTGTCTACACCGATAAGGCTGTCTTTCGCAGGGTATTTTGGACTTTTCACCAGTGCATTGAGGCTTTCAAATATTGTAAACCCATAATCCAAATTGATGGCACGCACCTGTACGGGAAATACAAAGGTACCCTCTTGATTGCTACGTCACAGGATGGTGATGGATTCATTCTGCCTATTGCGTTTGCCATTGTTCCACCGGGTGAGAGATTGGATGATTGGTTGTGGTTTCTTAGCCAGATGCGTTTCCATGTCACACGTAGGCATGGTATATGTCTAATATCCGATCGTTACCCCAGCATCATCAGGGCTGTGAAGGATCATGCCGGTTGGCAGCCTCCATTTGCGTATCACGTGTTTTGTCTTCGTCACATTGGAAGCAACTTCAACACTAAGTTTAGGGACGTGGAACTGAAGAAAACGCTGATGAAACTAGGTAACCTATGTTTATGTATAACCCCACCGTATAGGAAATGTGTTGCCCACAGACTCTTCTCTGCTCCTGCACGGCATCACCTCGTGTATATCCTGGAAGTATGGTCCCGCTGTCTGCGTCATATTCCACAGTTTGCGCAGAATCAAAGTCATACCCCGGTAACTCCAACCATACCGGAGCCGTCATGATGATCTCCACCCCGCAAACCCTAGACCTCAGCTCACCCTGTACGTAGCTGAGGTTATGGTAGAAGGCCCGTACATGCAGCTCAGAATATGAACACGACAGTTCAGCCAAGGTCCTAAGATGTGATTCCTCCAACCACCTCACAATGTTAAAACCTTCTTGTTCAATAAAGGCTGTATCAAGTGATTTGGCCCCACATATCGGTCGGTTAACAAAGTCACGGACAAAAGATTTATGAACCACGGGGTCATTCTCGAACAAGTATCCGAATGGGAGGTCGACAGCAGCGGGTTCTTCCTCTTGTGGCCTTGACGAAGACAGACGGTCTTGTCGTAGCTTCTGTCGTCTCTCATTTCCAGTGCTAGACGATCTTCTACGGCCAGCCATGGGAACAACTGTACCTACAATGCAAGTGGAAACAATATCAATGAACAATAACAATATCAAAAAATTTAAAATTCAATATAAAAAACAAAACCTATTCCTAAAATAAAACAGAAAACAGAAACCCTAACCCTAACCCTAACCCTAACCCTAACCTAACCCTAAGCCTAAGGTACCACATCAACCCTAACCCTCACCCTCACAACAAACTTAACACCCTACCCCTAACCTAAATCCACAAAACTGCAAACAGAAATCAAATGCATGGAGAAAACAAAAAAAAAACCTAAACTTAAAACCAAATGCAATTCAGGATACGTTACCTAAATGTCGATTTCGCAAGTGTGAACCAAGGATGCTTCAATCGCACCTTCAAGGGTTGAGATTCGGACTTGGTTGGAGAGAGGGGACGAAATGGAGCGATTTAGTCGATTAGGGTTTGAAAATAACCCCCTTTGCGAAATGGGGTTTTTTTTTAAAAAACGTGATCTGCGATATTTAGTCGACTAAATAATGTGCTTAATCGACTAAAAGTGCAAATAATGTAGTCGATTACGGTGAGTATTTAGTCAACTAAAATTCGCGTTGCATGATTTCTGAGTTTTGCCCATTTAGTCGATTAAAAGTGCAACTTAATCGACTAAATGGGGGCATGATGGTGGATAGTTCTGGGGAGGGGCAAATTGATTATTAATTATTTAATGAGGGGCAAAAGGGTCAAAAAATCTCATTTCTTTTTTAAAATGTTAAATAAAAGCAAGTTAATATTTTTTTTCCTAATGCGTTTCGTAAAGAAACTTATCAAGCAATTGATAATAACAAATATCAAATAAAAGATAACTTTTGTATACTCCCAATGTATTAACTGCATATTTCAGGAAGATTATTTTTTCTCAAAAACAAACTTTTTTTTCGAATACAAGTTGTTTTGAGTAAATTATCGAATGTTTAGGAAAAATATATAAAATTAACTTTAAAAAAGATTATTTACTTCAACAGAAAAATGACTTATTTTGAAAAGCTTCTTTTTTTCTACATTTTGATAATTATTAGTCTAATTATTTTGCAGATTTGGTTTCATTACCAAATTTGTCCTTTCACTTTCCTACTTCTTCGTGTATAATCTAAACAAATTATTTCATATTCTTTTTAAAGTAATTTTTTATAAAACAATTTAAAACAAAACATATCATCTTAAGATCATTTTTGGTCAACATATTAAAATATAAAATTAATTTAGTCACAATTGATTTAAAAATTCAATTATATGTACAATTAATTATTAAAATGTTATCGAATATATAAGTAATGTTAGCATTATATTGGTTATTTACTAATTTTACATTTTGGAAGAAGATATCATTATCATATTAATTATTCACAGAACATGTACAGAATAAAGAAGCAGAAAGTATTGCATTGACTTCACTTGCTATAATGAGTGTAATTAGTGATAGTAAATACTAACAATAATCTAATCCAATCTAATTTAGTTGGGGTATCTTGACAGTTGACATATACTTTAAATACTTATTTTTTTGGTATATTTTTACGAGTAAGGATATTCTAATTATCAAAAATTTTTACTACTAACTTACTACCTATCACATCACTCTTGGATCAAAGAAAGAGAATATTAAAAAGTTTTTGAAGAGAGAGAAAATGTTAATCTAACGATGATTACATAGATAGTAAGTTGGTAGTGAAAATTTTTGGTAGTGAGAATATCCCTCCTCTATTTTACATTATTTTTATTTTCAATTCCTTAAGAATTGTCATTATAACATACACATTAACAAAATTTTATCAACCCCAACTAATTAAATTAAAAAAAAACACTTAACTCAAAAGTAGTTTAATTTGTGTATTGTACACTCAAAACCAGTAAGACCTCCAATCAAATGATTGTTTCACGCACCAAGGCTACCCTTATCCCCAAATCTCTTTTCATTATTCTCTTGATTGTTTCCTTTGAAATGCTTTTTTAATCTTAGGTACATTAATTTATACAGAAATAAAGCAGCAGAAAGTATCGCATTCATTTCAAGCGCTACAATGAACGTAATTGATTACAGTAAACAAAAAAAAAAAAGTAAATAGTAATCAATCCATGTTTTTCTCACAGAGACTGGGAGAGAATTTTTTGTACGACAGTGGCACCGACAAATCGGTGCAATACTAATGTTATAATTATGTATTTCAAAAATATATAATTATAATATGGGACAAGATATGTTTATTATTAAAAAAGTTTATTACTTTTACAACCAACTTAATCACCGTTGATTTTCGTCAATTTAATGATTATAATTTAATAGGAGCTAATAATTAATTAATAAATGCGATCGAATAATTTTCAATAAATTATAATCGTTAGATTAACGAAAATCAATAGTAATTACATTAGTTGTAAAAATTATAATTTTTTTTAATGATAAGTATATCTTTTTCCAATATAATATGGGATAGGATATTGTGACACCCAAGTTATGTTACACCCATGTGACACCCAGTCAATCTCACCGTTAGATCGCTTATGTTGATCCAACGGTTATATTTATTTCCATATTTGTATGGTCATGATTTCCCAAATTTAATATTTTATATTTATTTCTACCTTTGTATGGTTATGATTTCCCATATTTAATGTTTTCACTTTAAATTTGGGAAATCATGACCATACAAATATGGAAATAAATATAACCGTTGGATCAACATAAGCGATCTAACGGTGAGATTGACTGGGTGTCACATGAGTGTAACATAACTTGGGTGTCACAATATCCTATCCCATATAATATTATAGTTAATTTTTTCTTTCTTTCTCCTATACATATGCCACAGCCAATGTATAATCATTCCATTGGTGGAACGCAGATATGACAGGAGTACTTTAAAAGTTTCCCTCACTCAGCCCAGCCAGCCAGAATCTACTCAACCAATACGCATCTAATTTCCAAATCCAAGTCCACTCATTCCCTCTATTCTTCACATTCTTTCTTCGTCTTTAATATCAACTCAATCATCTTCCTATTACCCCCTCAATTCTTTCTTCATCTTCAATACCAACTCCATCATCTTCTTATTCTACCAATTCAGAGAGAGAAAACGGAGAAACCAAGATGGAAGTATCTTAAAGAACCTTGAGATACACCACCCCAAAAGCTAGCTCAAAGAGGAGAGGGTTCAAGGCCTTATAAACTCCACATTAGTGGCACATACAACCAATGTGGGATTATATATCTCAACAAAGGAGAGCAAAGGGATGAGAAAGCGTGTGCAGGGGAGGCACCCTCCACCTTACGCTTCCCTCTTAAAGCCTCAACCTTATCCCTCTACTCCACCGCAAGCGACTCCATTCTTGATCCTCTTCACCACACCACCACCTCCTTCACCCTCCAACACTGCATCCTCTTCCCTTAATCACCTCCTACTCATCCTCACCAACCAACAAAAAAACCAACCCCACGAACTAGAGTGCATCTACTACACCCTCCTCACCAAGGGTTCCAGTTCAGGTTCACCTGAACCGGTCCTTCATGTTCGGGTTCAACCGGTATATAATCCAGTACATAATCATGTTGACAAAGGCATAGATACATCAAATAACCTGTTTGCTACCCCTCTTTCAATTTAAAACTGGAAAGATACCCACCGAAATTTGAACTTCTTTCCTGCATAGTTCTTGCACATTGAAGTTGCTCTCTTGCTGCCCTCTCGGTCAAATTTACTTCTCTTGGGCCCGAGTCGTAACTCTTTAAGTGATAAACTATCAAACGTATCTAAACACAAGTCTCAGCAATGGTAAACTGCACGTCAAAAACCAAAATGTTTATTGTTGAAAAAACAACTGAAAAGGTTTTTAACTAAATTGATTTTGTTGAAAAGCCACAACATAATTAATTAGGTGTTTCTGTAGGAAGGACTGAGAGAGTACGTGACCCGTTTAGCGAGTTCTAAGAAACAATTAAGAGTTTAGTGAATGTTCTCTTAAAGAATACAAACTTACATCCTTTTAGGACTTTTAACTATGCATTTCCGGGAATGTATATTTATAATATTAAAGTGAAAAAAGGCCATAAGTTTAAAAGTGAAAAAAATGATAACTTTAATATTATAACTATACATCGACGGGAACTCCTAAAATGACATAAACTTGTATCCTTAAAAAGGACACTCTTTTTCCCAAATATTAATTGGGAAATATATTTATTTTTTTGGGTAAAAATGGGAATCTTAGAATTTGAAACCCAAGTCAACCACTAGAAGTATTCAAACAAAAATGTGCTGATGTGTATTTGAGCATTGCCTTAAAAAATGGATATAATATACATGGGATCAATTTGAGCTTCTTATACTAAAGAACTCGGATGAAAGTTCGAGGATTTATTTCCAATAAAATCAAGTAAAAAGAAACATCAAAGGCCACCTTGCAAATCTTTGACACTTAATCTTCTGAGGTCAGAGGGAGAAGTTTCACATGTTTTGCAAGGGTAGAATCCAGCTTCTCTCCTATAAATGAAATCCATGCCTGCAATCATTTGAATACTTATGCCACTATCCCACAAATATATGGAATTCAAAAATAGGAAACAAATTGCAGGATCTAGAAAATGTACTGATAGTACAGTCATGCCTAAAATACAGAAACTTAAATTTGACGTCTTCAATAGAGGTTAAGTGATGCTTCAGGATACTAACCTAAATTTTTATTTTTTATTTCATTTTATTTTTTGTTGGTGTTTATTTTTTATTTTTATTTTTTTTTTTTTTTTTGGGGGGGGGGGGGGGACTTGTGTTTAAATCAACTACATCACGATTAATCTAATTTTTTAACACTAACAAACAACGATCTTTATGATGCTATAAAGAGAAAAACCTGAAGTTACATTTTATTATAACCATAACATACTGTAGGATCCAAAGATTAAAAGGTTTTGACTAATTCAGATATAAAATTAAAAAAAAAAAAAAAAAGCTGAAATGTACCTGATCAGAAGTAGTGAAACCTCTTATTGTGTCACCACCAATAATTGCAATTCCTTTATCTCCAAGTGGTTGTAAAATTATTGCCTAGCAAAATATAACTGTATGAGTTCTTTTGTTATTAGATTTTAATAAAATTTTCACAAAAGTCATTGATTACAAAGGAGGCAGGTGCGCTGCCCAGGAGAACCAAACCCCCTTCCCCCCTAACATAACAAAAATGTTCATAAATCACAAGAAATACAGAGTAACTTCTCAAGGTTTGAGGAAAGGGGATCATGATTAACCTAACAGATTTTTCTTTTTCTTTTTACCCACTTCATTTTTCTCATAATATCACCTGTTATCATTTAAGCATTATATGATCTTGTACATGTATGTCAGTGAAAGAATTTGGGTTGCCAAAAGCATACATGGTAAATTTCTGCCAAAGATGAAAGTTGCATCAGTTAACAAAACATACAAAATACAAGATCACAGGCCCGAAGAAGGTCAACACATAAGTTAACACTAAAGCATACAACGGGAAGAGAAATTGAAACACAGAAAACAGTCTTGTTATTGAAAATGTGATATCGGTATGATATCAATGGAAACTGTAGAGGAATTCAAGTAACAGAAAAAGAAACATATTACCCAGGGAATTAGAGAGGCACATGGACTCTATCACTCCTTACTTACGCAATAGTCTATACATTAACCCCATGTCTCACTCTTTCTAAACAAAAGTTGTGCTTCGGACAAGTTTTAAATGATAGACCAAAACAGTTGGTTAGAACACAAGGTAATAACGAATTGCATTGAAATATGCATCAGTTAAATGGACCAATTTAACACATAGAAACACGATACCTGAGTATTTGAAGGAAGAAATGGCAGCTCAGATTTCCCAGGATAAAGAGATAGATTAGCCAAGTAACTCTCTGAACATTTATAAAAGTTTCAGCACGTTTAAATTAGTACTGGGCCACATCTTCAGTAAGTACTGTACTGAAGCAGCAGCAATTGTGATAGATGACACACAGTTGATAGTATAAGGTTAGAAACTTACGAGCACCAGATTTCATAACACCCTGACACACAGATCCTTGCATCAATTTATCGGCATCCACGCTTACAGCCTCACCACCATCCTCAGGAGAAGATTCAGCAGCAAAACCAACTTGAAGTAAACAAATGCTCTCATAAACAATAACAAGTGTTCGGCAGCAGGTAACATCTGCTAGAGATTCCCACACCCTGATAATAGATAATCAAAGCTACTATTACTGTTAATAAACTGCGGGGGAAAACTAGCTATTTATAGCAATGGCTTCCATACTTGCTGATCACGGCACTTGAAATTTTCCTCCATTAAATAACATACGATGTCACAATCTTTTCACATCATATTCATATCCATTTTATTCACAGCGCAAATTTTCAACTTTTAACTCTTGTGGGCCAAGGGGGAGAGAGAATGGAAAGAAAAGCCAGTGAGAGTAACAAATATACATAATGTGCATTACCAGAGCAACTCAGCAAGTGCAGCATCAGGGAGAGCAGTGTACAATTTCTTGCATTCAACCCCTTGGGGATTCACCTGAACAAAAACAAGCCTATTAAGAACAAATTTTAAAGCTAGAATGAAAAATCAGACCCATGAAAAAGAGGAATAGAGAGAGATAGCAGTGACACAAAGGGGTTCAGGCTCACCTCAGTCACAGATTTGGGTCTTATGGAAAGCCATACGAGGCCAGTCAAAATATTGGTGACAGCTAACCCTAAAGTCAAAAGGTCAGCTCTGGATTGTGAACTGCAAAAACAGCATAAGCATAAATTGCACAACAATGCCAATCGCTCACTCACCAATCACCGCAACCAAAATTTCAAATATTAAACATTTACCTTACACATGATGTGACATGTTCACTTAGAGAAACGTAAAATTCATGCTTCACTCCCAAATCAAAAGCCCTAATTTAAGAGTTCAATTTTTATTTATATTTTTTCGTGAATTCATTGAGCCTAGAAAAAAAAAAGTGAGAGATTAGGAACCTGCTGGCGTCGGCGACGGGGGCGATGCCGGAAATGGCGCGGTTTAAGAGGACGGCGAAGATGGAGGCGGAGCCAATGTAGATTGGGAAGGTGCGAACGGCGTCGTCGTTTTGAGACACCCAATCGGCGAGGAAGTCGCGTTTTGGTTTGGAACCTCTGTAACTGTAAACGGAAGAGGAAGAAGAAGGAGAAGAAGAAGAAGACGATGATGAAAGAGTGAAACGCGTTTGGAATACGGTTTTTGATTTCGCTGAGCGATTGAAAATAGAAATGGGAGTGTGAATGTTAGTGTGTACACGAAGAACAGTTCCCGCTTCCATAGAAGTTTGTTATCGAGGCTTGCTTTTTGGATATGTTGACGACGACTTTTCAAGATGCTATGGAAAATATATTCAATATAATATTCATAGGAAAAATGTTTACTCTATTTAAACTTCAAAGCATACAATTTTGTGTCATTTTAAACTTTAAGTATTGATTTTTGTGGATTAATAGTTATAATTTATTGTGAATTATTAATTAATTAATAAATTTGGTCTCAAATTATAATCATTGATTGAAATAAATCAATGATTAAAATTTAAAATGACTCAAAATTTTATCTTTTAAATAGGCAAACGTTTTTCCCAATATTCAATAATAAGTCACTAAAGTTGGTCCAGTGACCAAAGATTTAGATAGTTTATGTATTCAAAAAAAATATAACTAAGTAATATCTATATTAATAATATAATTCATAGTCATTTTGTGAAAAGTTCTGCCATGTGTAATTTATAGTTTCATGCAATGATTTAGATTCTTCTAATAAGTGTAAACTTTCCATCTTAAACAAGTTTTTAAAAAAAAATTAAATTATATGCGTCACGAGCTAAGTGAGACTTGATCCATGATGCAACTTAATTAATTTAAATATTAAATTAATAAAATTAATTTGAATTCTAATTTTGAATTTGAATTTAAAAATAATCATTAAATTAGACTTGATGATAATTAAGGAAACAATTAATTAGATTGATTGGCTAAAATTAGGGAAAACAATCAATTCGATTGATTGGATTAAAAAAAGGAAATTACCCAATATGATTGGGAAGTAATGAGGCGCTAATCAAGGAGTTGATCAGTCATCATATTTAGTTTCCCTTCTTTCTTATTTAAATGAGGCATTTTTTTATTTTGCTCAACCAAAATCCTAACCGAAAATTACTTTATTCTTTGAAAAGTTTGCTGATGTGTTACTGCGTTCTTTTTGTTTGGTAATCATATTTCTTTATTCTTTGTCTATTCTTCTTCTTCTTCTTCTCAAGTCGTTCTTCTGCATTATGTATTCTCAATATGATTTTATAAAGGATCTTAATCCTACCAACGAGGAGTTGAGGGTTAAGGTTATGGTAGTTATGACTTGGAAGGTTCCTAATTTGTATCAAAAAGATTTTGACGACAATATGGAGATGGTTTTATAGGATGAACAAGTAATATTTTTGGTTTCTATTTGGCATAACTGTTGTGAAATGATATAATTTGGTTTTCAATATTTTATTAATGTTTACGTTTTGTAGGATGAAATGATCCATGCTACTATAAAAGGTTAAAATTTACTTTGCTAAAATTAATAACATTCAAAAATATTCAACCCAAGGTTAAAATCCTTTTTATAATTTTAATTTAAAATATAAAATATAAAATATCAATTATCCTAGAGTTTAGCTATACTAATTCATTTAACAAATAAAAACTAATATCATCTATCTTAGGGTTTGATTCCTGCACTAAGAGAAATAATAAAATATTATCTATCCTATAGTTTAGCTATCCTATAATTTTAATAACAAAATAATAAATTAAAATTTTATTAAAATAAAATAGATAAATTTAAAATATCAATTATCCTATATTTTAGTTATACTAATTCATTTAACAAAATAAAATATATCATGTATCCTAGGGTTAAATTCCTACATTAAAAAATAATAAAATAATAAAATATTATCTATATCTAGACTTTTACCTATCCTAATTTAAACAATAAAAATTAGGGATATTTTTTTTTTATGTTATAGGAAAAAAACTACCTCATGTTGTAGAAATAAAAGTATAAGTGGGGTTGGATATGTGTTCGATTCCCGCTGAATGCATTCTTGGGGAGGGGGCTGAACCTCTAGTCATCACTGTTCCCCCGCACTCCGGATTAGTCCCATAGCCGGCTCAAAGATTCGAAGCTCGTGGGGATACCGGAGGGAGCCAACTCGTCTCAAAGAGATAATTAGGGTTGGGTAACTCCAAAAAAAAAAAGTATAAGTGGAACTCACACATAAGAGGAGAGAGAAAAAAGAGTAATGAGACCCAACTCCTTTTTGTGTGTGTAAGAGAGTTGTTTATCTCATGTAAAATGAGATAAACATAACCCTAAAAATTAAACATGTTTCCTATCTTATGGTTTCCTATAATAATATATGGGCTTTATTTTTATTATGTTACATAACATAAAATCATCTTCCTACACACACAAATTTTATATGGGACCCACTTTAAATTTTTTCTCTTTTTCCTATTCTCTCTCCTCTCTCTTCCTTTTGTGAGAGTAGGAAGTTTGTTTTTATGTTATGTTACATAACAAAAACATTTCCCATAATATATAACTAATATTTAAATAAAATAAATAAATACTTACATCATAGAAAGGAACCTTAAGAGAAATTCTTTTAGAGAGAGAAAATGTTGAGAGTGGGTGATGAAGATATATACAGACTGCACATAACATTCCATGTTGAGAGTGGGTGAGGAAGATATATACAGACTGCACATAACATTCCATGCTGCGCAGCGTGTTTCATCACGTGATGACATGTTTCATGCATGCATGGAATGGTCAAAAAATTGCCCCTAATTTGCTGGACAGTATGGAGTGTTATGTAATATGGACATCTTTTTCAAAGAGCGCAGTCTGACATGCTGACGTGGCCTAACATGCTGGTCTGCGTAGAGAGTATGATGACCTCAAACGGCGTGCCATGTGTTCATATGTAACACGCCACGCATTGTAACGAGTTAAGTGACGTGGTATTTTGACAAAATTTTGTTTTTGGTGGCATTTCGATAAATAGTTATTGTTACTGTGGCAAAAGGGTCATCGTTCCGGTCAAAACGATAACTAACTAAAAAATACGGGTCAAATTCGCATTTGCAGATTGACATGTGATACAACACAAAATTTTGAATATTATATATTAGCAACATGAATACGACACAAATTTAAATGTGGATCAACCTGAGCATAAATTTTTATGTCGTATTTGTGCCTGATCTAGAATTGTCACCTATGTCATTTGATGTTGTGATCATATATATGAAATTTAAACCATCTATGCTTTGGCTGGTATTTATTTTATTTGCGACTTGTTACCTTCAATAGATTTATGCTTTAATTGTCATAACAATTCTTTTATGTATGGTAAATGTACGGCTTCAAACACAAACTATCCACTAATACGGTTGGGTTGGTTTAGATCGAACAGAGTTTCTCAAATTCATCTTAATCCAATTCAACCCGTTATTGTCATGACTAAGTTAGGATGAAAAGTACCAAAAAAGTAACTAAAAAACAAAAACACGCACACACACAAACCAATCAAAACTTAACTCATTTTACCCCTAATCCAAATTATCCAAATGCTACTTTACTTATTTTGAACTGCATTTACAACCTCAAGCAATTTATCCAAACTGAGTTATAGAAAATTCGATGAAAGGCCAGCTAAAGCAATTTGACATATACTTTTTTTTTTGGTATGCAATTTGACATATACTTAACCAAAATGTCTCTAGGAAAAAAAAGAGCTAATTGAATTATAGCTATTGAGTATTTCTCATTTTAATTTATACGTGAATTCTTGTGTCTATTTTTTTTTTGGAAATTTTTAATAAAGAGGTAAAAATAGAAATGAAAAATTCACGGATAAGTTCTTAATAAAATTTCCCAAAAGAAATAAACTAATCCATAAACTATTTTTTACCTCTATTTTCCAATAAAAATAGGAATGAAAATTCATGGATAAGCTCTTAACATTTCAAGTTGATCCTTTGAAATCCACATTTTAGATATATTAAGTAGTTTTGTTTTTAAATTTTAATTTTCAAGGTCGTGCTTCTTTCAAATTATAAAATTGATATCTTTTAAAACTTTTTATAATTTTGAAATATTAGATGATAGAATTAAAATTAATTATAATTTTATAAATAAAAGATATTACACGCACGCACATATGAATATTGAATTGAGAATGAGCGGAATTTAAGAACTTAATAATATTATATAATAATTTGAAGCCGATTCTATTGGCAGTGTCCCAGATCTTGGTTTCTTGCTTTCTTTTTTTGATGTAACAATTGAAGAGAAAAAATCAAAGTGAGTGAAGCTTTTTGGCCGTATGAACAATGCTGGTGAAGTGGTGAACTATAAACATTGGCGGCCATATGTTTGTGCGAAGGCATTCTGCAACAGACACTATAACACATCGGACAAACAAACAAAACAAGGTTGTCTTTGTAGCTCAGCGCGTCCATTCTTTTTCACCCAGCATCTTAGATAAGGAAAGACGTGCTCCCCAGCCATTCTTCCAAAGTAACCATTGAAGCATTCAATTTTGATTTGCTATTACTAAATACTATTATTTAATCATGTATTATATTATATTATTGTTGGGGACAGTTATACTTACCACCAAGTAAGTTTACCACCCTTACAACTAATCTTATCATCGTTAGATTAGAATTAAATTTAACGGTTCATAATTATCCCCTATAGTCGTAATTTTCACTCTCTCATCTTCTCTTTGTCTCTCTTCAGGTTTGGGATCTGCACATCTCTTCCTCTAAATTTTTCTGGATTCAAGTTTCTATTCCTTTAATCCAAATTTCAGTTTACTCAAAATCTTTCCATGACCCATCTTCTTAGTCAACCTAGTTTTCTATTATGTCTATCAAACCGTAATCACAATTTGAAGAGAAAGAAGGGCAGAAATCTCGTTCCACTTCATTATATATTTACCGAATTGTGAACTCTGTTGATGGCAAGAGTAGGTTGCTATCATATATATTTACAGAAGAGAACAATTATATATATGTTTACCGAAATGAAATCGCTGAATTGTGAAATATGTTTATATAATGAAGTCTGTTGTGAAATATATATATATATATATATATGTTTACCGAAGAGATCCATTGGCAGAAATCGCTGAATTGTTATAGGAATTCTAAGCATTACTTTGGTAATTCATTCGTTATTAAAAATTCATTACTTTATAAACAATTCTTCAAATGGATCTTGATTATGATTAAAACAACTTTAGTTCCATAGAAATTATATA